GATTTACTAATTTACTAATTTATTGGCTTATGAACTATGGCTACATGGTATGTGTTCTCTGGTTACTTGTTTTCATTGAAAAATATAACCGTTTATAATTTATGGATCATGGAATTTATTGTTTATTGTATGAATCGATTAGTGGGTATCATTGGGTAGGTTAGAGTATGGAGGTTCATCTCTGATCAAGCTAGTAATTCTTTACGGACCTAATGAGACCTTGGGTAGGCTTTAAGGCCCCAAGGCTGTAACATCCTCAATACCGGGTTAGTGACTAAATTGAAATATTTCAGAATTTGTTGGTTAAAGTAAATAAATTAAATAGTTTGGGGACTTATATTGTAAATTTTTATATAGGATTAAATATCAAAGAAGAAAAATGGAAGGAAAATGGTCATTTGACCTATAAATGAATTAAAAATGGGATATGGTAAGGATATATACACGTGGGGGATAAGCTTAAGGAGAGATTTCTCTAGAAAACTCTCATTTCTTCTTCTTTTTCTTCTTTACCGTGAACCCTAAAGGCAAAGGTAAGTTCTCTTGTTAGTTAATTATTCATTAATTTTAAGTTTGGTTTGTGATCCTTAGATGCTACTTAAGCTTAAGGAAGGCTTAAGTTAACTTTAAATCAAAGAATGAATGAGTTATGAGAGATTTAAGATAAAGAGTTTATAAATGAAATTTTGGAAAAGAGTTGATAAGTGGAATTTGAAACTAAATTTGACTTGTCAATGGTTGAATTAAGAGATATGAAGTGATAAAATTGAATTTAGAACAAGTAAAAAATTTAGTATGATTCTTGAATTCTATATGGAGGATGAAAGTTTGAGGATAAAGATGTGATAAATGAGTAAAAATGAGTTTAAGTGAATGTATTTGAGTTAAGGATATTTAAGGGGATGAAACGTGAAGTGTTTAAGCTAATAAGAGTGAATTTTCGGGCTTTAAAAGGAAAATTTGGGCAAGGGGTATCGGTACTGCTTCATCAGGAATCGATACCTCAAGAGTAAAAACAAAGAAGACAATCAAAGGGTATCGATACCTGGGAAGAACAATATCGATAACCAGGGTACCGATACCTTAAGGAAGGTATTGATACCATATTTGAACGAGAATTATAGAAACAATATGGCTATCGATACCTAGTCAAGGTACCGATACCACAACTAGGGAAGAATCGATACCCTATTGGGGGTACCGATACCACTGCAAGATAAAATTTGGATTAACTCTTTCTTCTAGCTTAAGAAATTAAGGATTGAATCATAGTATTTGGAATGTTGATATGAATGCATGATTGTGAAAATATCGATCGAGTGCAACGTCCGGATAAATCAACAAGTAATAGTCATCGAGAAGATATAAGGGAATGATATTGACTAGTGAGGTCATGTGAGTGCATATTAGATATTATATGATGTTTAATGGAAATAAGACTTGCGACAAGACTATTTCCTATAGTATTATGCCTGAATTCATGAACATGAACATTTGTTTGTTAGGATTTATGAGTTATATATTATTGTATGTGTGACATGATTTGTATGAATATATACTAGTGTGATAAGACATAGGAACTGATATAAGTGATATTTATGTTTATATAAGTTATATGATATTGACATAATAGATGATATATATATGATGATATAAGAATAAGATATGAGTTATATGGGAAATATATGTGAACAATATATGACATATATGTTTATGTGAAACCATGCGAAGTGATTTGAGCTATGTGACATATGAATATGAAATCATATGAGAAGTGACATGAATTACACGAAAATAAACTACGTGATTACAAGAATATGTGAATTATCTTATGTGACATGAATAACTGATATGTGACAAGTGGACGATAATGCCCATATTATGTGTCATGAGAGCTAGAGGTATAGTTGACATTCCAAGAGTCAAGGGTTACCTATGTCTTTCGAGACATATGGATAGTAGTCATTCGGGACATATTGGTCCTTCGGGACATTTCTACGCTGTCCTTCGGGACAAATTCATATGCCCCTAGTGGAACCTTATACGAGCTGTGGCGACAACATATGTGCACAACCTTTATGTACTCACATATCTATAGTTCTCACATGTGTACATGGGCTAATAAAAGATAATATAAATAAACTTGATATGATGACGCATTGGGTTATGTGTGAAGTGATATATGTGATATATGACGTGTATATATATATATAGTTGTCATATGAATTGTTATATGATATTTGTATTAAGTTAATATTTGAAATGTGTTACAGAAATTTATATGATGATATGTACATTGTTTGCTTAACAATGTTAGGTACAAGAGCTCATAACTAAGAGATATGATTGATAATCATGCTAATAATGATAAGAATAATAATAAGAATAATGAAATGATATGTATATGTATGTATTTATATTTTGATGCATAATTCATTCTATAGCTTATCACGATTACATGAAGTATGCATGGTATGAATTAGTAATGATATGTTATAGTACGTTTATTTATGCCTCACTAAGTCATCGACTTAGCGTGTGAGTGTTTCACACGTAGGTTACGAAAAGAGAGAATTGAAGCTAAGAAGAGAAAGATCGGTCAGCATCTCCCTTATGAAATTCAGATTAGAAAAGTAATAATTAATATGTATTTTGTTCTTTCGAATATAGTTGACATGTACTAATAGAATTGAGTTGAATATGCTCTGACATGTGTGGTAAACCCATTTGTTTTAAAAATAATTTGAAATTCTTCATTCTTTAGTAAAAGTAAAGGTTTTGAAAAGTCAATGTGACACCTCGGACTCGTATCAAGGTCGGGTACGGGTTGAGAGTGTTACATTTAATGGTATCAGAGCTAAGGTTTATCCGATTCTGGGCTTAAACTGAAGCCAAAGAAGTTTTAAAATGTCTACATGCCAACATAAAGTGAAAAAAAATTCTAATCTGATAGTGTAAGGAGTATGTTGTCTTATTACTAGAATAAGATTAGTATGAGATAATTATGAGAATGTTCAAAGTGAATCAAGAGGCGATAAACCTGATGGTGGTAGTAATTCACCTACCCTGGCCAGGCAGGATGAAGAGAGGACACCTTAGGAAGTGCCTCGTAAGATCAAAGGTTGATTTCAGAAAGTTGAAATCATATCTGAATAGTGATAGAAGGTCTTCAGTGTTTTGAATCGGAAAAGTGATATGGAGTAGTTTTGTTATTACGTGGATAAGATAGAATATGGTGAATAAGTGTCACCATAAGGACGTTAAAAGATCAAATGGTGCAGTGAGAATTTGTAGAATAGTTCAAGAATAATAGAAAAGTTTAATAATGAATATATCGACGATCAATTTATAAGACAAAGAGAGTTAGAACGTTTGAGTTTAGAATAGGAGAATAGTACTGTGTATGAGTAAGAGTGTGAGTTTGAAAAGTTGAGTAAGATACCGCTGAGGAAAATTTTGACGGAAAAAGAATGTATATGATCGGCTTGATAAGGGTTTGTACCATAGATTAAAAATTTAGGGTTGACTAACAAGGTTATAATGGTAAGTGCGTTAGAATTGAAGGATTAGAAGTTGATGCTAAGTTAAGTTAACCAAGTATAGTGTGGAATTAGATATAATTATGTATCATGATCATGTAGATATGATGTAGTCAAAAAGATAAGGATTTATATGCTTAAAGGGAGCCTTAAGGAAGTAGGACAAGTATTTTAATGGATTGAGTGATTATTGGAACTTGGTACTTGATGAATTAAGTGAAGGAAATACAAGTACAAGAGACGATAAATAATGAGGTTTTGTATAAGTAAAGTTAATTATCAAAGTTATGAAGATGTGATAAAGATTGATAATCAGAGATAAGTATAAGTGACCTGAAAAGAGTATGGGAGTATGAAGGAAAAAGATGTGATCTATATTACCAGGAAACATGGATTTTTTAAATAATAAGTGGATAAGGAAATGAAATGATGGGGTTTAAAAGACCAAATATAAGAAAGAGTTGTTATAAAGTATGTATCAGAGTATTTTTTTTAAGACTAAATATGGACTTATTTGATGAAATGAAGTAAGTTAGCACCATTTATGATAAGAAAATGAATATTCCTTAAATAAGTACGGAAAGTTATATTAAAGGATTATGTGTATCATAATTTTATATAAGGATCCGTATATCTGAAGAAAGCTAAGGATGTAGTAGGAAAGTAAAGATGATAAAAATGGATATGTGTATTGTGATTTGAACAAGGATTAAGGAATTAGTAAAGGTTTGGGTTATGTGCAAAGCAGTTAGAGAATGATGAAAGAAATCAATTGATTATAATATTAAGTATTAAGGATTGGAGTTATGGTTTATATAATAAGTGACAGTATATGGATTTTTAAAGATTGGATGTATATGAAGGATTGAATGGGGAAACGGTAAATTGAAGAGGTAATATGTGAATATGAATAGGAGATGTGTAGATAGTTTCTTCATCTATAAGTGCAGTGAAAATTCGAGGACGAATTTTCTTAAAGGATAGGAGATTTGTAACATCCTCAATACCGGGTTAGTGACTAAATTGAAATATTTCAGAATTTGTTGGTCAAAGTAAACAAATTGAATAGTTTGGAGACTTATATTGTAAATTTTTGTATAGGATTAAATATCAAAGAAGGAAAAATAGAAGGGTAAAATGGTCATTTGACCTAGAAATAAATTAAAAATGGGATATGGTAAGGATATATACACGCGGGGGATAAGCTTAAGGAAAGATTTCTCCGGAAAACTCTTCTTTCTTCTTCTTCTTCTTCCTTTTCACCGTGAAACCCAAAGAAAAAGGTGAGTTATCTTGTTAGTTAATTATTCATTAAATTTAAGTTTGGGTTATGATCCTTAGATGCTACTTAAGCTTAAGGAAGGCTTAAATTAACTTTAAATCAAAGAATGAAGGAGTTATGAGAGATTTAAGATAAGGAGTTTATAAATGAAATTTTGAAAAAGAGTTCATAAGTGGAATTTAAAACTAAATTTGACTTGTCAATGGTTGAATTAAGAGATATGAAGTAATAAAATTGAATTTAGAATGAGTAGAAAATTTAGTATGATTCTTGAATTCCATATGGAGGATGAAAGTTTGAGGACAAAGATGTAATAAATGAGTACAAATGAGTTTAAGTGAATGTATTTGAGTTAAGGATATTTAAGAGGATGAAACATGAAGTGTTTAAGCTAATAAGAGTGAATTTTCGGGCTTAAAAAGGAAAATTTGAGCAAGGGGTATTGTTACTGCTTCATCAGGTACCGATACCTCAAGAGTAAAAATAAAGAAGGCGTTCAAAGGGTATCGATACCTGGGAAGAACAGTATCGATACCCAGGGTACTGATACCTTAAGGAAGGTATCGACACCATCTTTAAACGAGAATTACATAATGCAATATGGGTATCGATACCTAGGCAAGGTACCTAGGTATCGATACCACAGCTAGGGAAATATCGATACCCTATGGGGGTACCGATACCACAGCAAGAGAAAATTTGGATTAACTATTTCTTCTAGCTTAAGAAATTAAGGATTGAATCATAGTATTTGGAATGCTGATATGAATGTATGATTGTGTAGATATCGATCGAGGGCAACGTCCGGATAAATCAGCAAGTAATAGTCATCGAGAAGAGATAAGGGAATGATATTGATTAGTGAGGCCAGGTGAATGCATATTAGATCGTATATGATGTTTAATGGAAAAAAGACTTGCGACAATACTATTTCCTATCGTATTATGCATGAATTCATGAACATGAACATTGGTTTGTTAGGAGTGTATGAGTTATATGTTATTGTATGTGTGACATGATTTGTATGAATATATACTAGTGTGATAAGACATAGGAATTGGTATAAGTGATATATATGTTTATATAAGTTATATGATATTAACATAATAGATGATATATATAATGATATAAGAATAAGATATGAATCATATAATATGAGTTATATGGGAAATATATGTGAACAAGATATGACATATATGTTTATGTGAAACCATGCGAAGTGATATGAGCTGTGTGGCATATGAATATGGAATCATATGAGAAATTACATGAATTACACGAAAATAAACTACGTGATTACATGTATATATGAATATGCCTATGTGACATGAATAAGTAAATATGTGACAAGTGGAAGATAACGCCCATGTTATGTGTTATGAGAGCTAGAGGTATAGTTGGCATGGCAAGAGTCAGGGGTTACCTATGTCTTTCGAGACATATGGATAGTGGTCCTTCAGACATAGTGGTCATTCGGGATATTTCTACGCGGTCCTTAGGGACAAATTTATATGCCCCTAGTGGGACCTTATACAAACTGTGGTGACAGCATATGTGCACAACCTCTATGTACTCACATATCTATAGTTCTCAAATGTGTACATGGGCTAATAAAAAATAATATAAATAAACTTGATATGATGATGTGTTGGGTTTTGTGTGAAGTGATATATGTGATATATGATGTGCATATATATATATATATAGTTGTCATATGAATTGTTATATGATATTTGTATTAAGTTAATATTTGAAATGTGTTACAGAAATTTATATGATTTATGTACATTGCTTGGTTAACAATGTTAGGTACAAGAGCTCATAACTAAGAGATATGATTGATAATCATGCTAATAATGATAAGAATAATAATAAGAATAATGAAGTGATATGTATATGTATGTATTTATGTTTTGATGCATAATATGCATTCTATAGCTTATCACGATAACATGAAATGTGCATAGTAGGAATTAGTGATGATATGTTATAGTATGTTTATTTATGCCTCACTAAGCAATCGAATTAGCATGTGAGTGTTTCACACATAGGTTACGGAAAGCGAGAAGAGAAGCTAAGAGGAGCAAGACAGGTCAACATCTCCCTTACGAAATTCAGATCAGAAAAGTAATAATTAATATGTATTTTGTTCTTTCGAATATAGTTGGCATGTACTAATAGAATTGAGTTGAATATGCTCTGATATGTGTTGTAAACCCATTTGTTTTAAAAATAATTTGAAATTCTTCGTTCTTTAGTAAAAGTAAAGGTTTTGAAAAGTCAATATGACACCTCGTACTCGTATTCGGGTTGGGTACGGGTTGGAAGTGTTACAAAGGCACTCTCCCTTGGGTAAATCATGGGACTACATATGGTGTACGGGTGTAGGGCAGTTATGTGGTTTTTTTCATTGTCATTCTTACGAGATTTTACTGGATCATCATCCCAATATTATTGTTTACTGTTAAATCTGATTTCTATTGGATATTGTATGGATATGATTCTGGAGTATGGAGGTTCAGCTCTGCTCAAGCTGGTAATTCCTTAGGTAGGCCCATAGGCCCTAAGGTATTCCCTTAGGGTGGCTCCTTTGCTGTGTGCTTAGGGTAAGTCCTTATGGATGCAATTCTGGGGAAACTGCATAAAATTGTTCGGTTGGAGGGTATTACCATGGTTTTAAAATACGTTTTAAACTACTAACGTTTTTAAAGGATATATATACATTACTCTGTTTTGTTAGAACACACTAGACATCCTATTCTGATATCTTGAACTTGGTCCTCTGAATGTTTTCTCTGAACTGAAATCTTCATGTCTTTTACTCGGAAAAAAATATCAGTGGAACCACAGCTCATCCCAAAAACCTATAGATGTCTGAATCGATAAGGAAATATTTATGTTTGCCTATTATCTGCATGTCCTTCAGCATCACTTGGTAGTTCTGTATTACTAAGCTTCCCAAAGCTCACTCTTTACTCACCATTTCAGGTTAAAATAATCGAACCAGTGCAACTCTCGACATTAGTAAATGAGTTACACTGTTGTTGCTTGCGAGTACGGTGCATGTAATTAGCGGGCATGTAGGTTGTATTATGTATTTATATATGGATCTGAAACTTTTATGATTTTAATTCTATTTGTAATATATGAATGATTTTCTGAACTTATATTTTAATTACAAATTGTTTTATGATTTTACGCGTTTTAATAGAAATTTTAAATTTTCCAGGACTTTTCTGTGGGTCTCTCGATAACCATAATGTGACACCTCGGATCGGATCGGATCACCCGCATCGATCGTGGGTGTTAGAGGAAAAAAAGTTGAATCAACAATCAAAATCATCATAAGAGAAAAACCCAGATATGTTTTTCAGTTTTCATCAACTGTCTCGATATATACCTGAACAATGGTGAGGACAAGTTTGGATATCAAGAACACCATGAACGTCCTTCTTGGATTGAGTATCCCTCCGACAGTCCTTCAAAATTTTCTTGAGCTTCTTGAAACCAACCCCCGTAGTTTCTTCTCTTGTCCCTGCATGTAGTCTCGATATTTCTTGCAGAACTTCATGCCTCTCTCTCTCTCTAACAATAATTATTTATCCTTTAAACCTAGAACAAAAGATATGTCAAATTACCTGGTTCCCTTAACTTACATTAACTGGGGAAAAAATTCATGAAGATGATGATGTGTAGCTTTAGATTTTATGTGATGACAATATAGATTGGCGGAGTGTGTTGGCAAATGAAGAGATTAGTGAGGGGGAAATGGCGAAATCTTATTTTCTATCTCGATCGATTGCTTCAAACGGGCTCTTTTTTATGTGTATTTATCACTAATGGATATGAAGATCTGCAGCTGACAAAGACATAAAATTTGGTAAATCATTAATAAATAAAATCCAAAAGAGAAAATAACCTCAGTGACAAAAAATGCCTTATAATATACGATGTTAACCAACTTTTTTTGGATTTGTCAAAATGACCAACTAAATCGCAATGCGATCGATAATTCGCAACGTGATCTCCGGTATCGCAAATTAGTTTCCAGATTCGCAACGCGATTCTGACTATCGCATTGCGATTTTCCAAATTCACGTTGCGATTTTCCTAAATCGCAATGCGAATACGTAAATCGCAATGCGAATACGTAAATCGCAACGCGAATCTGACTATCGCAACGAGATTCTGACTATCGCAATACTGAATTTCAAATTAGCAACTCGATTTCTGAATTCACAACAAGTTTTAGTCTCGCAACACAAATGTTTTGGGTATATAACTACTCAGCAACAACAACTCATAACCTAAATTCCTAAATCGTAACTCATTCCATCTCCATCTATCACTATCTCTGGCGACATCTGTTCCTATATCCAACGACATCCTTCCCCATCCGACAACAGGTTTTAGTTTCGCAACTCGTTTGTTTAGTAAATTAATTTACAATAATGAAATCATCTAATGTTGATCATGTTTGGATAAATTTGTGTTTTGGAGGGTCATGGGAGAATGTTCATGGTGTTTTACAATATATGCCTTTACCCATGAATCTTCAACTAAAACTGTCATTAAAAAAGTTAACTTATGAAACTCTAATGTTACGTGTTGCAAATAAATTGAATTTAGAGCCCCTAAGTGGATTTAGGCTATCTTATCAGAGAAATGGTAAAGTTTATTTGTTAACTGACAATGAAGATATTGAACGATTCATTGCTTACATTAGTGTTTCAAGTGATGATGTTACATTGTATGTTGTTGAACCTAGAAGTAGTGAAGTTGGGTCAGTAGCGGGTAGTAATCAACTAAGTTTTTCAATCCCAGTTTATGGTGCTCAGAATTTAATGGTTCCACCACAATTTCATCACCAAGCAAATATTGTTTCACCATATTTCCAATACCAAACACAATCTCAAAACCCACAACCTTTCCCTAATCCAAATCCCAATCAACTTTCAGAACCAAATTCCGGTTTTTGTATTGACCAGTTAGACGATGATGAGCCAACAGAAAAAATTGTGAGTACTAGTCAGTATTCGAAATTTGATCTTGGTCAATACCCGGACTTTGATCTTGGTCAATACTCGGATTTTGATGATTTTTCAGAAGAAGAAACAGACCCTGCGTGTAATGATTTTGATATTGGTCAATACCCGAATTTTGATGATGAAACAACCGTTGCCGAGGAAGATGTT